TTCTACTTTCAGCTACTTGTCTGTTTGGCGTTTCTAGAACCGTTTTTGTTGCATGTGTTGACGTTCTTTCTAGAAACTCCTACTGTCCTACTTTTCGATACACTGTGAAGAACTCTCTACACACTGACCAACCACATGGAGGTGCCCTGGATACAACTTTACTATATACGTTTTGAGAAAACTACGTTCTACCGCGCTATACTTGGCCAGACTACAAAAAGAACATGCTGTGCTTAAGCACGGCCATGGGAAACCTATGCAATTAACAGTTTTTAGGTGTGTCCACATCAGGCTGGCGAGGCAAGCACTGCCATCCAAAGGGCGGACACAGTTCACAACTGGTTAGAAAATGCCGGGAAGCACCTTGTGTAATGTTTCACCGTAGCTTCTTGTTACTACTAGTAAGGCACCTGTTACTACTAGCGTGGCACTTGTTACTAGTAGCTTCTTGTTACTAACACATCGTGAATTCTTTGGGGTAAAAATACTATGTTCTCTTCTTATTGTCCATATATGTTGTGTTTTGGAAGCTTAGGCCGCTCAAGCCCGGTGAGATCTGGGTACGGGTTCTTGAGCTTGGCGAGGAAGAAGCTTCTCAATGTGGACAATAAAGAAGTTTTTCACAATTGGGTTGGAGGCCATCGCTAGTAAGAGCGATCGGACGCTACGTTCTCCTGGCCTTACTCCTAGGAACAAAGGTCATCGCGACTCGCACGGAGCGATCGGACGCTCGATGCGATCTGACGCAGAAAAAGGAAGCTCCTCCAACCGCATGATTGATTTGGTTCCTAGTGTTTAAGGGGAAACTTGACCTTTAGGCCTGTCTTTCCGTTGTTTTTTGTTTAAAGTCTCTTTTTTTGTTCTTGAACTGTTTCTTTGTCTTTTGGAAAAAAGTAAAACACGGGACACTTTGGACCGGTCAGTCCTTCTCGGGCGGCCGTTTGACAGCAGCTTTCTTCTGCGGTTTCTTGGCCTCCACAGGTCGGTCCGACAGGTGCAGGTCCGACAGGCCCAAGTATCGCTTCTAGTAACAAGTGCATCGCTTCTAGTAACAAGTGCCTTACTAGTAGTAACAAGAAGCTACTAGGAACAAGTGCCTTACTAGTAGTAACAAGTGCCTTACTAGTAGGAAACAATAAGTAAATAGAATTAAAAGTAGTAGTAAAGGAGGCTACTAGGCGGCGGGGGGGGTATGCTACTAGTAACAAAGGGCATCGCTACCAACGGAGCGATCGGACGCTACGAACGGGGCTCCTGGCCTTACTACCTGGCCTTACTACTAGGAACACGACATATGTTTCTATGAGCGTCCTTGCTCCGTTCGTAGCGATGCCAGGAGCCCCGTTCGTAGCGTCCGATCGCTCCGTTGGTAGCGATGCCCTTTGCTCCGAACGTAGCTATATTTGCCACTAGTAGTTGAGTTTTGCAAGAGATGATTCAACTTTCTCTAGATCCCACGCCTGTGCTTTCTTGGGAGCCATAGCGTGTCAAGCTGCTGCTCAATATAGCCAAGTGTGTCGACTCTGTATGGTGTATCTCCCGATTTGATGGCTCTTTTTGTTTTCTTAATGTTGCGGGTGTATGTTGTGGGCTCTGTCTTTGTGCTTTGATGTTTTGTGACGAGTTAAGCTGGAACCAAGCTACGTCTGCTTCATAGCAGGCAACAGGAGAAAGAAAGGAAAAAAGGATAGTACCGGGCCCCTTAACGGATCTCTTGTTGTATAAAGGGACCCAAACACCTTCCTCTTTTCCTTTTCTTCGTACGAAATCTCTGTTACTCTCTGTGCACGAATCGCACAATCCTTTTCCTTTTACTAAGCTTGTGCCAAGGCCAATGCCTTTTTGCGCATTTCCTGAAAACGGAGAGGGAACAGAAGAAAGAAAATGAAGACTTGGATACGTTCCTTCACTGATCGGTTCAAAGCTGCTTTCAGCGACGCATTGAAGACTTGCCCTTCAATGCCATACACGAAACCTCGCCAACCATCCTTGTTCCAAACATAATTTGACATCTCCAGCATGCTTAAAGGTGAGGTTCTCATATTTCCGTCAGACCGTAGCTTGGATCGCTTTGTTTGAGCTTGGCACATCTGCTTGATTCGTGTGATTGGAAAGCAAATAGTGGATGCAATGAGCTTGCTAAAAAGACCAAGCCAAAAGGCTTGCCCGGCATTCAAACCCACTTGCACAGCTCGAAGTTTCATTTGGGCCAAGTCAACACCAGCCCTGGCTGCGGCCGAAATGTTCTGACGCTTCAGCCAGGTATCTTTGATTCCCTCGAAGATGGTATCTTGGATAGTAGCATTCAATGATAGCAGCAAACATGGCAAAAGCCCTTTGTAAAATGCCGCGAGGCCCTCTTCTCTATACATTTGCACAGCTGTGGCCCAATTGCTTTGCCTTTCAGTCTGCGTTTGCATGCGTGTTGAGTGATTCTGCAGAGGCAAGGTTGTCAATTGCATGCAGGCCCCTGCACAAGTCGCCAAGACCATATTGCCGCGATAGCCGATCCGGCCAGAAACTGTTCGGGAATAGATGGAGCGAAAAAACTCAAAGTAGTAATAGTAGACAAAATTGAAGACAAAAGCATCGGCGCAAGTGCTCATATAGCCTGGCGCCCAAGGAGCTATCAACGCTTTTGGACCTTCTGTCTTCCAAGTATATGCCATGGCGGTAAAGGTGTTGCTCATGGCCTCAGAATCGGAAACGGCAAAACTCTAGAACCACAATTTTGCAAGAGAAAACTAGCCCTGACCTAACAGGAATGGCCTCCAACCTAATAGCAAGAGACAACTAGCCACGACCTAATAGCAATGGCCTCCAACCTAGTAGCGATAGCCGATAGCCTCCAACCTAATAG